AAGAGCGTCAAGGAGCTCGTCGGCATCAACTCCAACTACGGCGATGTCGCCACCATCTCCAACACTTGCGGCTCCAGCGTCTCCAAGGTCTGCCAGGAGTACAAGGGTGTCTCCAAGGGCAGCGGCGAGAGCTCCAAGGTCAGCACCACCGCCAACTGCAAGGGGCAGACTTCTTTGTCTGCTTGCTAAGCGAGTGGTTGTTGGTGTCTTCCTGTCTTTTCATGTTTGAGCGTGGAGTTTCAGGGAAAATATCCCATTGAGCGTGTATTTGCTTCTTTATTCCGTGTCACTGGTTACTACATTAGTCTGTGACCGGACAACTTCTCTGTACATAGTAGCTCGGCCTCATCAGCCTATACATATTGCTGCATCGACAAGCTTTTCTCATGACCTGTGCCCTTCTATTCCTTACTTGACTTGCTCTTACTTTAATTCTGGCGGATGCTATGCTGAAGTCTCTGGTCGGATTATGCACCATTGCCAAATCTCACGCGGTCTGTTTCTCTCAGAACCTCTCTTCCAAGGAACATGGGCACTCTAAGCTCTGCTTGGATTTATCCGTCTGTTCAGGGATCCAAACCCAATTGGTTCACAGAATGACGTTTCCTAGAGCTCAGCCTTTTCCAGTACCCTCTTCACCACCTGCTATAATGCGCAGGAGAAGTTGAGGTGACTGTGGGTAACCCAACGTTATTGGGCAGCATCCAAGGCTGGATGATATCCGTCATCCCAGCCAATGCCAATTTGGGCCTGTCAAGCTCGGCTTCATGTTAGTAGCTCTGGACTGCATAGCTACTAGGTCATTCTCCACTTTGACAAGTTAGCCTCGGGCCAAAGAAGTATTCTTACAAGTCTCAGTCAAAGCTTCTCCATCTTCGATGTCTACTCCTGTCCGGTTCCGCATTGTCATTGGCGCCTTCCGTTCGATCTGCGGCACGAAGACTACGATATGCTGTCAAATTGATTGCCTCAACATTCCGGATGGTTATCTTCCTGCAGATACTCCATGCCGATAAAAAAACCATCGGGGTTTGCTAACGCGAATAACAGTACCAAAGTCAGAACCTGACAGGGCATATTTCTTCCAATTTCCTCTTGGAACAATGGTGGTCAAGAATAATCTGCTTGAGGCATTGTGCCGTGCCAGTAGCATTCAAAGCGCGTATTCACAGGAGTCACCGTCAGAGTTTTCTTTTTGCCAGACAAATCCCAAGGCATGTTCGATGTCCTCTATCCAGCCACACGGAATGTTGTCCACGTACAGCCTCTCCACGACAAGCCTGAGGCCGGATTTCGGCAAGCAAGCCGTCAAGGTCAAGCAACCCAAGGCCAATCCATTGAAAGGGGAGGTTTGTCGCAAGTAAGCATCTCACAACGAGAGGAGAGATGTTTTGTGGCAACTTCTTCGGCTTTAAGTTTTCGACCGGGTTGGAAAGAGGCAACACCCAGGTTCCTAGTGCCGGAGAGGTTCCAAGGGCTAGGCCTGAAAATGCGCATTTACCCTGACTTTACCTTCAAGGTATAAGACGCCCAAGTCATCCAGGTAAGTCTGAATGTCCGCTTCTTCGGCGAGAAGTCTTTAGGCAATCCATACGATTGGGCGAGGCAATGGTACACGCACATTGGCGGTGATCAGGACCATTTCCCCAAAGGTTGGTTCAAAATGGTGCAAGACCTTAGAGACAGGCGGTATGAGAAGCTGAGAATGGACTACTTCGACAATGTCTATTACGTTCCAACAGCCGACATAGGTGTCGAAGAGCAGCTGCACACTGCGGGACCTGGTAATGTGCCTTGGGATATCATCCAAGCCCTCGGTTCAGGGCAAGAATTCATGCAACCTTAAAGTTGCGGGTCTCATTTACACTACTCGAACGGTGCGGGAAGCTTTCCATGGGCTCGGGCTTACCCTGAGGGTTAACATCACCTTGAAATGCCCTCATAATAACACCCGTCACCCCCCGGGTTACGCATCATAGCCCCTGATTTGCGGTAACGCGCCTTGAAATCGTCGCCCGGTCCAAGACCTATCTCCTTTAGGTTCATGGCGGCACCTGGCAGGCCTGGAATCCCGTATATAATGCCGTCTTCTCTCCCCCTAGAAGCAGTTCGTCTTCTCATCTCATCCATCATCCACTTCTCTCTGCAGTCTACACATTGCTTTTCAGCCACTCTTACTCTACTCTTGCACGATTCTGAACTCCAAGCAGTCTCGTCGCATTGCTTGCTGGTCTAGCTACTTCTGTTCATCAGAGTACCTACTTACCTTTCATTTCTACACTACGTCCTCAGTCGTCTTTTTACAATGTCTTCTTCCACTCAGTCAACTGTTTCTCCCATCATGGCGTCAGAGCAGCTTGTCAAGAAGATGTTGGGCGCAGATGTAACCTTTGGCCCTGGTCTGGAGGTTCAGGATATCGTCATCCCTCCCACCACTCTCTCCGGGAGCATCCCCTATCTCGCCAGCTTCCACAAACACACATACTCCTCTGTGATGTTGGCCAACATTGTCAGACTCCACTGGCGCAACCCCACTGCAACGGCCATGCTCACGTATAGTGACGCCTCCAAGTGCCGCGAGGTTGTCCGCCGCTTCAACGATGGAGAAGCTGGAGTCTGCGGGAATTATGTTCAGGCGACGTTCCTTACCGGCCAGCGCGGTCCACAGCTTCAGCTCACCAGACTTCCTCTCAAGGCCACCAAGTCGGACATCACCCATGATCTCCCAGCGTCGCTCTATCCCAGCTGCACCTTCATTGGTGGTTCCAGCGCCAAGCTCGCGCCAGCAGCTCAGCTCCAAGCCATCAAGGACTTGTTCTCTGCTCACGGTACCATCATCGTAGAGGACCGGATCAGAGATCACGGCGACGAATCTTCCGTCAGACTTGTCTGCGACGAGGAATCCGACGCGAGACGGATAGTCAAAGAGCTCAACAACACGGTCCAGAAGTCTGCTGGTATCAGTCAGTTGTTTGCAGACATCTGCTTCAACCTGGAGTACTGCTTCCCAGCAAAGTGGCTAGATCACATGAAAAAGACAAGAATCATCCACCCCACCGACGGATGGTCCGACACTGTTGACAGAGAGGTCGCATCCATCCAATTCATCTCCGCGTTCAAGGAATCCATCCTCTTCAAGAGAGAGCTTATGGACTTGGTCATGCGCGTATACATGGACTCTTACGGGGACAACTGGGATTCCTATACCTTTGCGGAAGGACGGATGAGAGACTGCACCGACCGCGAGTGTGCCATTTGCTTCTGCCCTCCAGAGCAAACAGTACGGACCAGCTGCGGCCACATCTACTGCGCTGGGTGCTACGAGCACACAGTCTCATCAACCGCAAAGTCCCCAAGCGAGAACGGCATCAAGTGCTTCGGCGACTCTGGCAAGTGCGGCAAGCCCATCACACTCCCAGAGCTCGACTCCCACTTGGGTTACCAGGGCGTGGACAAGCTCATCGAGCGTTCTCTGAGCTCCTACCTGCAAGCCAACGCCGCCACCTACCACTGCTGTCCCACTCCGCGCTGCGAGCAACTCTACAAGGTCACTCCCATGGCGGCAGACAACATGGGCACCATCCAGCGCTGCATTGGCTGTCTTGAGATCCTCTGCACATCTTGCCACATGCCACACGACGATAGTGTCACGTGCGACAAGGCGGAGGACCACGTCAATGCTGAGCTCTTCAAGGGTCTCAACATCAAGCCGTGCCCCAAGTGCAAGACGCCTGTCGACCGCTACGAAGGGTGTAATCACCTGGAGTGCAAGTGCGGTGCCCACGTCTGCTGGCACTGCATGGCGGTGTTCGACAACTCTGGCGACTGCTACAAGCACATGACTGATGCCCACAATAGCATCTATGCAGGGCAGGCTCTCTATGATGCCTAGAGGAGGACGAATGGGCGAGGTCTGATGGGTAGCAGCTTGTGCCTGCACATCAGGAAGGGGTTGAGTGAGGGTTAGGTTTCATTTCACTGTTTGGAAATCACCACTGTGACATCTGGGTGCTATTGGCGTTTGCATGGTTTGTTTTGTTTTGGATTACGGGAGCATCGCATAGCCTTGGATTGGTTTCAGACACAAGATGTCTAGACTTATTGATGACCGGTCATAAAATGACTAGGCGTATCACTGTCAGCCATAGAGTGGCTTGACGTATTTTTACTACTGCTCCATACATTAATTGAAATGAAACCCTTGCCCACAAACAAGCTCTCTCTGTGACACGCAACCAGTTACGTGAGCCCTCCCATCAGTAGTGAATGTTCCTCGCAGTGTATACAGTCCTCGAACTAGAGATTAAGTAGCCTTTCAGTCTCCCGAATGAGACGCCGGGATCACTCGAATAGGTCGAGGTTTCCATTTGCACTGGAGATTAAACACAGCGATTTGCCTTGACGTCTGTCAAAAAATTGGCTTAGTAGGCATTCCTCTTCTGCCGCCTCACACAGAGACACCCATCAAGAAGACACTGCAGGCGTGAGGACCATAAAGTCCGTACACCATCATATCATCCTCATTTCCTTCCGGATAACACCATCTCACAATGCCCATCTCAGCCCTATCCTCATCGTAGCAACAGTGTCTACATAAGAAGCGCTCCCCCAATGATGGAGCTTGCCGTTGACTGGTGAGCCTCGGCTAGGCCCTCCTTCCACCCACGCCACCTTGTGCCCCCCTTTTTTCGAAGTCTTGCAAGCATGAAGTCTTGCTCGTGGATTCAATCAGCCCACTCATCATCGATAACACGCCTTCAGCCTCGATCAGAGCTCTTACGTCTGGCGTCTCCGAAGCGGGACAACTTCACAGTGCGCAGGTAAAGCAGCCAGGGGAAGCTCCCTCACCCGGCCCTCATTCACCCGAAGCCAACAACACAGCTTACGATGGCCTGATCACCCGAACACCGAGACAACCACCTTCTCACACATCGTTCGACCACTTGAACAAAGAATAAAATTCCATAATCCTTACACGCAGTAGTCACACGGCCACTAAATCAAGTGTAAATAATCCCCCCATCAACAATCTGCGTCTGCCCCGTAACATGATCGCTATCCGGCCCCGCCAAAAAGCTCACTAGCTTCGCCACATCCTCCGGCACGCTCGTCCGCTTCTGCGCAATCAGCTCATTCGTGTATTTCTTGATGGTGTCCCCCTTCTTCGCGCCCGTCTTCTCGCCCAGCTTCTCGTCAATCAGGTCCCACATGGCCGTGCCGACGATGCCGGGCGCGTAGGCGTTGACGGTGATGTTGTGCTCTGCGTATTCCATGGCCGAGGCCTGGGTGAGGCCGCGGACGGCCCATTTGGAGGCTGAGTAGTGCGAGAGCAGGGCGAAGGGTTTGAAGCCTACTATGGAGGAGCACTAGGGTGACATGTCAGTCTCGTCTGTGATTATGTCTGAGGGGGGCTTGATGGTGAAGGGATAGAGGGCTTACGCCGATGATCTTCCCGGGGGTTTCGGGCTTGCAGTTGCCTTGCTTGATCAACTGTTTGGCGGCAGCTTGGTAGCAGTTCTGTACGCCAAAGACGTTGACGCGGAACATGTTTTCGAATTCTTCCTCGGTGAGGTCAAGGAGTGGCTTGACCTGTGCAATCCCCGCATTCGCAATCCTTCCCGTTGTCAGCAACCATCACTTCCTCATCTCAAAAAAAGAAGCAAGCTCCGCTCATGAATGAACTCAACGAGTAGGCGAAAAGGCGGCTTACATGGTATTCAACGGACCCAGCTCCCCAACCGTCTTATCAATCATGGCTTGCACCTCACTCAGCTTCCTCACATCGGCGGTCGCAACAACAGCGCGGCGACCGAGATCGCGGATCTGCTTGGCGACGTCGTGAGAGCCGGCCTCGTTGGCGGCGATGTCATTTATGCAGACGTCGTAGCCGTCGCGGGCGATGCGGAGGGCGATGGCGCGGCCTATCCCCCGTGAGGAGCCCGTCACGATGGCGACGCGGCTGTCAATGGGTGTCAGTCACGGTATTGGCTTGTCTTGTTGGGCCCATTGACGAATCATGTACACGGGTGAGTGTATCCGGGGATGTGAGATATCATCGTATGTGAGAAGATGACGGACCTAGCTTGAGCCGCAGCTCTGGTTGCTCCTGCTAGTCCGCTCATATCTACTGAGGATGGGTATACGCTCAAATATTTCTGGTTGAGATCCAATGAAACTATGGTTCAGATACAATGGAAAACGATACAATTGAAGTTCAATGCAAAGTGTCTTCCCCCTCCCTTATGAACAAGAACGAGACGATTAAGCCCAACTACGAACGAGCAAGACCCCGCAGCAACAGCTCACAACGCGGGGTCAAAGGAGACCGAGAAAGCTCCTCACGCTTTACTCCAAAGTCTCCAACGAAGCCGGAAATCATGTAACGATCCCTACGCCCGGCGAGAAGGATTCCCAAGCCAAGCACCAGCACACGCGGAAAGGCGGAACCGCAGTGTCACAGTCTCAACCTTGTGGAATTGCTACTGTCTTGAAGGTGGATCTCCAAGGCGGGGCACAGAGCTTCACAGGTGCCAGGGCAGTTCCCATCTGCAGGGCTGCAGCTCCCCCGGACACCGAAGCTCCTCGGATTGGGAAGCTTACCTAAGTGACCTTACCTAATAGGTAGAAGGAAGGTTCCCAAAACCCCGTGACCCGGCGCAGAGAGAAGTGGGTCCACGTTGGAAAAGGATCTCCGAGCCGGCCGCCCCCGATTTGTCATGCACTCCACGTTTTCCGCCCCGAGCCACCGCCTCTGGTCCCTGGCCAAGTGGTGACTCTGACACTTTTTTTTTTTTTCTTTTTTTCTTGCCGACCCTTCCTTAGGTGGGTGAGCAGTCCCAGAAACCCCCCGGAAGCTCCAACGCAGGCGTGGCGACAACGGGATCCGATGGTTTGGAATCTGGCTGACGCAGGTGGCAGTGTAACCAACTTTATATACATAATCGCAATTGAATCCAAATCACATCGTAGTTTCTTCTTTTTTGCAACATTGTATCTTGATCGTGTAATCAATCTTTGGAATCATCACTCCAATGATCGCATAAAAGACGTCCGAAACACCCGTCTAATCACCTTCCCATTACAACCAGCGCACCACAAACCAGAAACCACCCCTCGCAATACCGCCCAAAAATCACGATTGCCCCCAAACGCAAACCCCACCACAAGCTCCAGCAGCTGCCCCTCCTCACCCTCGCCCTCACAATCCCCATCGTCCTCTTCCTCTTAACAACCTCCCTCCCACACACCCACCAAACAATGATCTCCTCCCTCCTAACCCGCCTAACCCGCCCCTTCACAACAACAACCAGCATGTCGATCACGCCCCCCGCCCCCATCTCCCTCCCGGAAGGCGCCCAAAAAGCCACCATCGCAGCAGGCTGCTTCTGGGGCGTGGAACACCTCTACCGCAAACACTTCGCCTCCAAGGGCCTCATCGACGCCCGCGTAGGCTACATCGGCGGCGACCTCTCCAACCCGACCTACCGCGCCGTCTGCGGCGGCGACACGGGCCACGCCGAAGCCCTGCAGGTCGTCTTCAAGCCCGAAGAAGTGAGCTACCGCCAGCTCCTCGAGTTCTTCTACAAGATGCACGACCCCACGACGGCGAACCGCCAGGGTCCCGACACGGGTCCGCAGTACCGCAGCGCGATCTTCTACCACGATGAGGAGCAGGAGAAGATTGCCAAGGAGGTTACGCGGTTGGCGAATGAGCAGTGGTATAAGGGGGCTATCAAGACGCAGGTTGCGCCGGCGGGACAGTGGTGGGATGCGGAGGCGTATCACCAGCTGTATTTGGATAACAACCCAGGCGGGTATGAGTGTCCCAGTCACTTCTTGAGGACGTTTCCCCCGCTTGAGGGATGACTCCTTGACGGCGGCGGGGAAGTAAAGGAGGATGGAAGGGGTGATGAGAGGGCGAAGAGGACGAGTAGGATGTAACGATATGGGGTTTCCTTTTCAACTTGAGGGAATCATAATGATGGATGGGATGTATCGGGTGGCTTTCTCTATTACGCACGTAGAGGCTCCGAGGCGATGAATAGCGCTCAACCGCTTTGATTTCAAAACTGTGTACCATCATGAGTGTGTGCATTTTGTGACTTCGGCTTCATCATGGAACGATAGTTGCATAGCCAGAGTTTGAGGGGGCAAGTAGCTGTTGCACTATCTAACTGAGTTAAGATGCTGAGACTGTGACATGCTACCTTGTACGGGTATATTGAGACACAAACATATCAGGGTGCAGGTGTGGTGGGACACTTAGTTGACCGAATTTAAAAATTTTATTTATTCTGGTATTGTACAACATAAAAAAACCAACTCCGAGCCCGTAGGTCTCTTTGGAGTCGTATCATGAGAGGGGTTCTCGAGCCTCTGTTTTCCGCCCGCCGTGGGGTATATACACCATCCCACTGGCGGGATCCCATTATCCTATCCTCCACTGCTGCTACACTTCACGTCCAACTCATCTTTACTTCCTGCGGTTCTGCTGCATCATCAAAATCTGCACCATACGGACAAAGATGTTGATAAAGTCAAGCTCAAGCGCAATGCTCTCGTTGACAGCATCCTTGCGAATGATGCCGCGCTCAGCAAGACGGGCGTGGTGCAGAATCTTCTGGACGTCGTAGAGGGTGAAGCCGCCAAAGACGGCGAGACCGCCGTACAGCGAGATGCTCTCGGTCAGGGCGAGGGTGCGGACGGCGGTGACCGGCAGCAGCATGGGTGCGAAGCTAGAGGCAACGACGACGCCGAGGCCGGCGAGGAGGGGACCACCGATGTAGAGGTACTTGTCCTGCTTGGCGGTGGCACCGACGATGGAGAGGGAGCCCATCATGGCGACGGTGTAGAGACCTGCGCGGGCGAGGAGGGCGCCGGGGACCATTGTCAGGAGGGGGGCGATCATGGCAGCCTGGGTTGCGTTGAAGGCGGCCCACATGGCGTACTTGGGGATGTAGCTGGTGATGCGTTAGTTTGCTTCTCGGATTCTCGGGAGATGATTCTTGGCTTACTTGTCAGGAGAAATGGCACGGGTACCGTACATGGTACCGAAGCTGAGAGCAAGACCACCGATACCAACGACCCAAGGGTTCGTCACCATCAACCTGTAGACGAAACCAGACTGGATCATCTGGCGCGCGCTGAGGGCAATGATACCGACGCCCAAGCCGGTGTGAAGGAAAGTGTCGTTGAGGTACTCGCGCTCGTAAACGGGCATGCCGCCGTCATCGCGGGTCTCGCGGTTGAAGACGACGTTGATAGCGACGAGAGTACCGCCAAAGATGGCGCCGCCGACCAACAGCTTGCGGAGGGGGCTCGCCTGGCCCTGGACGCCAGGTGCGGCCTGCTGCATGTAGGTTCTCGAGGAGCCGCGGAGGAGGGCATTGCGGGCGGCGGTCGCGACGGAGGCGGTCGGTCTTGACTTTGACGAGGCCTGGTGGAAGGCTCTGGTGGCGGTTGTGCGGAAGGGTTGAGATAGTTGCGGGAGACGCTGCGCCAGGCGCGCAGGCCCTTGGCGGAGTGTGATGCTGAATGACATCGTTGTCGTGTCGATTCGTGTGCGAATGTGATGTGGGTGAATTTGCGATGCGAAAGAGAAAACAAAGGGGATGTGGTGGTGGTTGACGATGTTTAAAGGCCTGCGTGGAGGAGTTTCGCGGGAGGCAATGACGAATGACGTTCCCGACTCTGGCGGGATCTCGGGGCCGGAATTTGCCTGAGGTGCTTTCCCTCCGGGCGGGTTTGGCTGAGGTAGCTGCTTAGCTAGCTTTTTTTGCGGTCATATGAGTGGCTGGAGAGAAGCTGGTGGAAATTCCCGTACCTTCTCTGCGCTGCCCTCCGCCTTAACCCCGATCCACCCGGGCGGACATTGGAGTTTGGCAACCAGCTGTCACCAGATGATTCACAGGCTCTACCAGGTGGCACCGGGAGCCCTTCCTTTTCCCCTCGGCTTCTCCTCCGATGCAGCTGCTGAAGGCTGAATGAAGCTCCCCTCCTAAGTGTCACGGTGTCTACCGTCCACCGGCCTGGACCGCTGCCGTTGGTCGCATGCCTCCTTGGCATCCAGAATTAGCAACTTGGGAATGAGACAGGAGGGTGTAGCCGCTGTCACACAAAGTCAGGTACTTGGTCGGGAACTCTGCTTCTGCTGCTGTCAATAAACCTCCGTATTCCCCAATCTCTCGAGTTGCATCGCCGCTGAAGCAAAGCAAGCTGCTATAGCGCGACAATACTTAAGAGGTGACTGAGTTCTCGTCATCTCACCATGAAAGCATTGAGCAACACTCATCCTCTCTCATGCCCATCCCTCGGTATCACGTGTGCCTACGTGAACAAAAACGAAAGAATGCAACCAAGTTCCTTACCGCCCACTGCCACTATGAGAGCCCCAAGAAAGCTAACAATATAGCTTCCATCTACCGTGCAGTAGCCTCCTTTTACCCCGCCGTGCCTGGCCAATCTCTCAACACCACCTGAATCACCACCGTTACATGGACGCATGTCTCTCCCGTCTAAGGATCTTAGGATACAGGCTTAATCACGAGAGACACGAGAGGCACACAGACCGCCCCAAGCCACTCATCGTTCGAATTAGCCAAACTCACTGTCTGTACCACGGTAAAGCATCAACAAGACTGGCGTTGAAGGGCGACACCTCCAACGGTTAACCGGCAGAAATCTAAGCCCAGATAATCTAGCTACGGCCAGCCACATTCCGCAGTGCCGTCAAATTCCCCCTCACTGAGACGATAAACCTACTTGGAGCAGTCACCTCTAATCGCGCCGCGAACTCATCGTCCGAAGCCTACTCTGGCTCTTTCAGCGACCTCCATTTGCGTCCGGACTCATTTCGGGGCCTTGTCTTACTTCAGTATATCAGACGAGTCACGATGTCTGGCAGGATTGTGCCGAATGGCGCAAGGCATGGCCATTTGATTCATCACTGAGGTTCGTTTTCAAGCTTTCGGCTTTCCTCGTCCGGCAGGTATATGGGGCTTGAATCCGACAACTGAGTATCTTGAACACGATTGTTATGTATTTTTTGACTAATCACACCGACGGGTCTTCATCATCTCATCGCTGTAAAAGAGTTCACTGTATGGGATCTTTCTTTCACAATCCATACTTCCCCTTCCTATGATTCCGCCCACACCGGAAACACCATGGTAATCCTCCGCAGCTCTCCCGAAGCACGGCCGCCCCCAACCTGTTTACTCTCCTCGACTCTGTGTTTTCTCCGATGAACCGTAACAATTCAGACTCATTGCACGTCTTGAACTACATTTGAGACACCTGATCACCCCCTCGGTTCCTTAATTCCGTACCGGCCCCAGGTACGGGAAGTGGGACGGGGTTTAGGGGACACGGGGCAGTCGGTGGTACCTACACTGCTTGTCTTGTTGGAACCGGGATGTCAGAGACAAAGAGGAAAAACATGAACCATTTGTGACGTCCAACATGGGCAGCAAAACTCGTCGACTCTTTCCGTTGTAAGTAACCGTGTCGCATCAAGAGGACACACAAAGGGCAGCAAATGATTGAGAGTTGTCAGAGACCAAAGATCTTCCTTCTACTGACTCAAATTCGACACAAGTCCCATTGATGATTTGAGAAATAAAAAAAAGAACCAACATCTAAAAATTTAGCACACCAAAAGAAACAGGCGCGTTCCTGGAAAGGCTGGAACGAGGCGCCGTCCGCTGATGTGAAGATCTACAATAAGCACCATGCCCCAGACAGCTCTAACTCGACTCAAGCCAAACGCGGACCGCCGCCAAAAGTAAAAGACTAAAGTACCTTGAAAAGTACCTTAAATAAATCAAAAGCACCAAAAAATGCTCTACTTTTCTGCCAGGATCTCATGCACCTGCAGACTGAACTGCACAGCGGATCCTGGACCCCAACACCAGCGGCTCCTGAATAATGAAAGCAAGAAAACACAACCAACATGGGCGGCTAGGTGCATACCAAGTACATCGCCCCCATCAAAGGAGCAGCAAGCTGAGCAGAGAAATGCGTGTTAAAATCATGCATGAATCTTGGGGGGGTCGCGATCGCAAGCATTAGCGCGCTGCCCCCTCTTCTCACCCCTTAAGCTACTGGTCCTTCCTGGCACCATTCTTAGTCCTTCCCACCTTAGACTCTTAGTATAGATTCCGTTTGCTTAATGAACCCGTCAGGATAGTCCCAATTCCCAACATCCACTTCCTCCTGTGTCTGTGTCTGTCTCCCCCATCTTCCCGCCAAACTTCCGCGCACGGGGTTCCAGCGTCAAACAAACGATGAAGGGGGGCTTGGGGGCTTAACCCAAGTTGCCCGTGGCGGGCCTGCGGCACCGCACCGCTCGTACCAGGTGTCGTCTCGTGTCTCTCTCTCTCTCTCTCTCTTTCTTCCTCAGCCCTCCCACTCTCCTTGATCTCGTATGACGATGTGTGATGCTGAGTGTCGAAAACTCACCACTGCTTCGGATGTTTGCAACATCCCCCGCCCGCTCCGTGCTCCTCCCATGCGTCCCATCCACCAACCGCCCCGCCCCCAAACTCCGAGGTTTCCAACACGCACACGTCGAAAGCTGAACATGCTGAGAGCTCCCGGATCCTTGTCTTCGTTCTCTAGTATCACTCTATACTGCGACCCTATGATCCTATGACCCTGTCGCCCCCAGTGCCCCCCCATCTCCATTGATTGTCCTTTCGCGCCGGGTACTACCTAACAAGCATGAATTCCTCGTTGCTAATATCCAAAACCAACGGCCAACTTCCTGATTCGGTGTTGCGGACAAGCCAACCAACAATCCAATACTTTCAAGTCTCATTACGCAGAAATCCTTGGTAACTCCATGCTACGAGTCCATGACGGTCAGGGGTGCACTCCATCGCAGTCTGAATTTCTTTCTCGTTACTTAATAGTCTCTATTCCTCCCCTCTCATGACCCATCTCTCTTGACTTCCCTACCACAAAAGCGCCCCGTCCTATCCGCACCTAGCCTCTTTCCACCAAGCCACCTGCGTCGCTTCACTTCTCCGTACAAACTCCTCCCCATTCATCCTTTGTGTAACCAACTCGCGCCAAACTTGGCGTCCCGTTTCACCCTTCGGTGTGGCTTGTCCTTGTCTTCACTCTCGACAATTAGCATCCCGACCAAAATACCTTTCGGTCTCACACCACCACCCGCCTCGTGATTCGAAAAGTCCAACAAGCGGTCGCGTCTGCGCTAAGGCTCCTCGACTCGGCCTTTATTTTCCTCAATTCGCGCCAGAAGTCTACTTTTGGCTTATAAAGTACGACCGCTTCCCCGACTCATACACTCGCACGATTGAGGACCCGCAGTATTGTGTAATTCTGTCGTCTGTTCTTCCCTCACGGTCGAGTTTGTCAGAGCTTGGCGAAGAATCCGACTTTCCAATCGAAACTCATTCATTCATTTTATTATTTTCCTTCCTTTTCCTCTATCCATTGCTCAGTTTCTTGTTCCATCATCCACCAACCGCCAAGATGAGATTCTCCGCCGCCCTCTCTGTCGCAATTCTCGCCTCAGCAGCTTTTGCCGCACCAGTAGATACGGAACAACATCCCCTAGCATCCTCGTCACATGTCTCAAAGGTCCCCGCAGATGCGGCTGGCGCGGCAGCACCCTCAGCAGCTACACCAAGAACTAGCAGCAGCAGCAGCAGCAGCACATCGCCGGCGTCCAACATCATCGCTTCCGCTTGGAAACAGATCTTTGGCGACAAGGAAGGAGAGGAGGATCCGAACCTGGGAAGGGCATGCTTTTGCGCCAACGGATCGATTTGCTGCAATACTTCGGAAGGCCTCGACTGCACGCAAGGCTTGTGCGGATTGTAAGAGAAGCGCAAGAAGACATCCCCAATAAGGGAGCATCGGGACAGTGACGATTCCACTCGTCTCGGGCCCCGCCCGGTCCACGGAAGGCAGGAGCGACCCGCTTTGTCCGGCTGCCACATCGGGGTGGATCCCGCATCGCGACCCATATTTTCCCCGGTGCCGACTGCTCCATGCCCGGGCGAATCCGTCTAGATGCCCCTGCTTGAGAACCAGATACGGGGAATACGAGACGCCAAATCCGGCTGGCCCTTCGACCTACAAAGAAAGGTTTAGGGCTTCGATTAAACTACGGGCAACCAATGGAGCGAACTCCCCGCCGCACAAAGCCGGGCGATACCTCGGGCCGAATCGAGTAAACCCCCGATACCCGCCATAGCTGCAGAACACAAAAGTCAACAATAATAAGCTCTTCGCTTGAGAAGTCGCAGTCGAGCCCACCGCTGTTTCAATCATCGTCAACAACTTGCGGGCGTCGGAAGAGGAGTCCATGCAGGCACCACGGCCTGCGGGTATGCCGTGGATACTGCGCCCGAGACTACACCACATATGCGGAGGAGTAGACTGCCCTTATTCATGAACTTCAAGCGCATCGCATGGAGGAGTCAAGCAACTTCGACATGGAATTGCGTGGCCGAATCGCGCGCGCGTCCGGCAGAAGACCGCCCGAAGTGTCCAAGTGTTCTCTAGATGAAGCTGGACCAACAGTACCGACTGGCACGATGCCGCGGCTATTCAATGTTCTATGTTTGCTGCAAGAGCAAATAAGAACGAGCTTGTCACACTATAACTTTAATTAATAATACCATTTTGGCTCCTGCACCACTTCATTGCCGAGTCCCCCTGGCTCCTGTGCCAGTAACGGATACACCGTCAAGGAATCGAAGTAAGATCTCCTGAAATGGCTGTGCAGGGAGTAGATAGCATTCGCCTCGAGCTTGGCTTCGCTGACAACTTTCCGCTACGTCTGTGAGAAACACAGCATATATAGCCTGACGGCCTGGGCAGCCAGCAACGGAGGAATCAAAGTGTACTCGGAAGGCTCCAAGTCCTAAATCTTTGTGTCTGCAAAAGTTTGCTATCGTGATGGCCGAAGTAGGGTGCAGCAAATGAAGCTAGAATTGCAGTCAGCCAATGGCTGGGATCATCCAGAGATCCAAACTCTAGGCCTTGGGCGTGGTTCGAGAAGGAGGCCGGAGCCGTATAGTGTTTCAAGACGATCAGAGGTGCCCGGAAAGGCCCTTGTGTCCGTTGTGATGGGCTCGGGCCACGAAGCAGGGGCCGTTGAACGAATCGTAGAATCTTGAAGGCGAGAAGTATGTAACCGCACCGGTCCGGAGACGGTGGAAAGCTTTCGATGCGGGCAAAAGCACGTGAGGAGCCGATGCATCTACTATCTCCACTGTTGGCCCTTAGTCGAAGCTTCTTCTGTTGGCAACTCGGCTCGTTGTAGCATTGGGTACTAGATGACCTTGAAGCGTAACGAAATTGTGAAGCTGGTCTTCCTCTAGAGCCAAATTCCCGTCCCTAGAAGTCCCTAAACCATAAGGAAGTCGGCTAATAATAGTATATGGCACGTTATAGGAAACAAGAGCGATACGATGGGAGTAGAGCAGCGCGACCCTGGCCATTTCGACAAAGAACAATTCTAGGGGGTATGCCCTGAACACCGTGCGACATGATTGAGCAATAGCTGACAGCTGGAAACACGTGGTATGCAAGATATCGGGTTTGTCAAGGCGTGGAGGGTTGCAAAGGCTGGGCCACGCGTGCGTAGCATCTGCGATAGTCTGCGGCTCATCGGACTGCGGACCCTAACTAGTGACCGAAGAGTGCAGCCAGTCATGTCAGTCGCGAAAAGTTAACCGGACGTTCAGGCGCGCCTTGACATGTAGCTTGTGGCCATAAATGTCAACATGTAGATGGTCGTTGATGGTCTTTAATCACATAGTCCTAGTCCCATGGCCCTGGAGCATAGAGAACAGCGCGTTTCAGGGTACAAAAGTCTAAGCAGTGGCTCTCTATAGGTCAGCGGGACTGGAGATCGGGAAAAGAGCCGACGAGGGTGGTGGGAGAGCAGCACGAGGCGAATTACTCGCGGGTCAGGTTCGTCCACTTCTTTGTTGCGTGGCCCTTGACGCCGCGTGGTTGGTGTGCGCCGAAAGTTGAGCCGAAAAAGAGGTTGTAGACTTCGGGACGAATAAAAGCTTTGGCAATGTCTTTTTGCATCGGACACCGAAGCAACCATGCGGTGAAACACCGGCAAGATGGTAGAACAAGGTGACTGAGATGGAGACCGGACGGTAGAGTCGAGGTTGGATGTCCATCGATGGCCCTGGTTGATGGGGTCGGAAAGAGTCTTGTTTGTGAAGAAGAATGCTACGTACATATGCCTAGTATCCAGGGGGAGAGCAACGGGCAAAGCGTGGAGACGTTGATGGAGAAGAAGGGCAAGCTTGGTTGGAAAAAGAAAGGAATGACGGCAAGAGAAATGGACCCTTCAATCTTGCATGCGTAGATAATTCCATGGATCTCCCACAGCAGGTGCAGATCCGGCGGGGATAGGTACCTTAGAAAACAAAGGAAGGAGGATCCGCTCCGCGAAGAAAGAGAGGCAGAATGCGATGGTGCTCCGTACTTTCCCTAAGCTACCTCGTACCTGCGTGCCTTCCTTCCAGATTCAAACCAACAGCAATCCAAGAAAGCGCAGAGGTTGTCGAGGAAGGCACTTTCTTGCTACCTTACTTTCCAGCTCAGGGAAGCGGCTTAGTCACCAACGCGTGAAACAGTGAGGCGACCAGCTAAATGCCCTCAGGCACCTCCTGTCTACCACCTCAGATCTCAGGCTCCTGCAACAACCTTTCAACGACCACCCAGATTATTCAACCTTCATGACAATTATCAGCCAGTCCGGGAATCCATCTCGGCCCCTGCTTCCACACCTCATATGCCGTGTACCAATGCTGGACCGTTCGACAAACTCTCGCAGCTTAGAGATGCTGGGCGGGCACCATAAACATACCACGAATGGCCGAGTCAGACTTCACGTCTGGCACGCGGCGCGAAATCCCCCCGTTCATCGCCCTCCACCAACCCAACCTTGGCAGGCTTCTAGCCGTCTTCCATAAGGCTTCCACGCATCGATCTCCCTTCGCTCAGAGGCGCCTTGACCACCATTCCCCAAGCTTCTTCGCCGTCACCCGCCGCCGACATGGTTGACCGGGTGCATCCTCTCACCCAGCCGCTGTGGACTGCTACCCCTCCCAAGACCGTTTCGTGCACCGTGCGTGCCATTTCGGGTCCGATGAGCCAGGGGTCCCGGGCTGCAAGTTTGAGACACGCGGTGAGATGGCGGTCCACCCACACTTGTCTTTCTGTACTAGGCTGAACCGACTTTGGGATAGCGACGAGATCAAGTGTGTCCAAGACTCCCAGAGTCCCAGGTCGACTGCTGGAAGTGGAGGAATGGACCTACTGCGAAACGAACGGCGGCCGTCTGCTTTTTCGGTCGTTTTCGCTCCTTGCTGCTGCGGCCTGCACGCGCCTCGCCTTCAACTGTTCTATCTTGTACTATGCGACAAAAGTCCCCGTCCATGGCATTCCATCCGGACTCGCTCCATTTACACGCACCCACTGGTCACGCCGTCGTCTTCGCAGCTTTTGCCGTCCTCGTCCTACGGTCACTCTTGTCTCGATCTCCGATCCGCGAGCTCAATTCCATTAGCAGTGCAAGGTGGAAAAGAGTCATTAGCCTCTTGTCTCGACTCGACAGTAGCGCGCATGCTGCTTGTCTGTTCCTTGAATTTACCTTCAGGCTTCTGGAGCAAGGATGCGACATGCTTTGACAAACCGAGGGGGCGGGCTCCCGTGTCCGTGTGAGCTTCTAGAATGTCTCTCCGACCGCCTCGCATCAGATTGAAAGCTTGAAAAATCGAGTTCCAGAGCACGAGGAGGGCACGATGGGACGCAGACGAACCAGTGGACAGGGAGTTGAAGGTGATACATACGACTGCCGCTAGCCCGAGGGGGGAAGTGCCAGAGTGGTTGTGGCAGAGGCACAGGCAGAGGCAAAGAAGAGGCAAATGCAAGAGAGGGAGAAGGGAGGCCAGCCGAGGATGGAAGCCGGCATGGAAACGACGCCAGAAGCCTGATAGAACAAAGAAACCGCAAGGCCGGCCCGGCGGCAGGCCGTTTGATTTCTGTCAATTTTGATTTTTCCTTTGGCTATTCTCCTCTGGCCGATCTAGCGACGCCCCTTTCGGAAGAAACCCAGACCATTGAGCGGCTGCCCTGGATTTGTGCCCAAGGGGGCTAAGCAAGGTGCGTGCGTCCGTTGTTCGCGCTACACTACCTACTCTATTCCGATGCCTCAATGTCACACTGGTGACCGGAGCAGTGCGCAGATTCAGGTAGGTAGTAATATGTTGCCATCGCCATTGGAGCCAGCCCTAGCCAAGGTAGCTTCATGTCTCGCTTTCGCAGCAGCCGATACTGACGTTGTCTGCCGGCTTATACCTGGTTGCTTGCAGCAATTCCAGCGAGAATCCTCCTTATTCTTGGCCTCACTATACTCAAGTATCGTTTGGTAAATGTGGCTCAAGCTTTGGTGGACGAGTGATTAACACCAGTCAGTCTTTCTCCTACTGTCTCTTAATTGTCTGCCCTTTGCTGACATCATCAAATAACCTAGCACCTTGTCAGGCAAATGGTGTGCTGGCAGATCAGAGTCACGACGGAGCATACCGCATGTCTCTGTCTCCTGGCTGTTTGTTTCCTCTGCTCAGGGCAAGACAGGGCGCCGTAGACGAAGGTCGCGAAAGCTGCAGTTTGTCTGTCGCACACCCAGTCTCCTCCCCCTTTACTTTTAGCTTTGGCTCTCCTCCACTGGCGAGGTACCCAGGTCTTTACAGTGCGCCTAGAGAAACCGTAAAGTATGGTACCTTACGCAGAGATATTGTCATGACTACGTCTGTATTTCGACACCACAAACAGCTTGGCTGTGC